TCCGCCTCCTAATGGACCATAAAAGCAACGCTAACCATTAAGGTATGCCAGGTCTTATTGCTATCGTGACGTGCATCAAATATGAACATCAACGAACACGTTCGTGGAAATATTTTGCATGGAATTTTCCTTCCCAACGTATCGCGGCCGCCGTCGTTAGACAAAAGCAATAACGTTAATTTGCCGCACGTGTTGCAATAAAACCGTACGGCACTCGATGGACAATCACGCATTTCGCGTTCTTTTCCGGAACGTGAGTCATAAAAACAGTTAGAAATTGCCCGGTGACCCGAGCTTTCATCTTCCCCTTTCCCAACCTTTTGTACATCTTTATCATCGTGCTTTCAGTCCAGTTATACACTCGGACGATGTCGACCGAGTCGTTTTATTTAATCAATTTTTAGATCTTAAGAGAGGGAAAGAGCCTTTGAAATGTGTTCCTTGGAGATTCTCAGGCGACGCCCGAACGGAGTGAAACTGACGATCATTTTTCAATAGCGTTTCGATAAAGTCAATTTTCCGTGGTACCTCCTCGGACCGTGTAGCTTTCAGAGGTGGAAGATTTTATTTCCACCTTTACATGGAACGATGAACAAATAATTATATTGTGAAATAATGCATTCGTGAAGCATTAAGGTATTCCGTGATTTTCGTCTATTAAAAGGTAATTTTTTTTTTAATTTATTTGAATTAGAATGTCGGATAATATAATGCTCAACGTAATGAGAAAATTGATATTCACAACAAAAAGTGATTGGAGCTTTAAATTTAATAGCGCTAAATAATTCATGGCTCTCCTCGTGATATCCAACACCAATAATTAAACATTTCGTACAAATTAATGGGAACTCATAAATGATTAAAACTCACGGACGGTTTTAATACTGTTTCGTAGGAAAATTATTATTTGTAGTCGTGCGTGAAATTTTCATTTTTACGAAGGAATCGAATAATCTGACTGATTGCAACCTATCGAACGTTGAACTCGATAGCGCCAGGGTATAGTTTGTGTTTCGTTCGGTGAAATTTAAAGCTGGTAATTCAGAGCACTTCTGAAATTACGGATATCCCTGTTAATTGCAGCCAGACGGAATAACATTCTAATTCCCAAAAGATCAGGGCGCGCTTTAATTGCACGATCCCGAATTTTCATAATTACGCGAGATTCCGATTTCCACGGTAACGAGATTCGCTAATGTAACATTTTTCGAAGTAAAAGGTTTCAGAATTTAAAATATAAATAGAGAAGACAAAATAAAGATATACAGTATTTATTTAAAATTTATTTAATGTTCACGTTTGTTCAAAGGAAGATCATTATTTTAACGCTGCAACACCATAATAATACCCTATATGGAAAACACAATGCGATCGACGCGTGTGACGTAATTATTTGAGTCTCGTTAATCCGCGTCACGTCGTTCAGACGGCTGTTTCATAAATCACGCGAGCCACATTTGCCTCGCAAGAAAGTAATCGACAAAATTATACGCCCGTCGGTGCGCAAAGTTACTCGTCAAATGGCGCCGGGTATTGTTATACGAAATTAATAGCTCATACTGCAGCCACGGTCGAAACATCGACGATTAATTCCTCGTTTTATCACTTCTTGATGTAGATTAATTAACTCTTCGCAACGTTGCAGCGTTCGCATCCCTGTGGATTCATTTGAGTATAAAATTTTTATGGGAGGAGGGCTGGGATGGAGGACATAAATTTCGAAATTATAGTCGGAGGAGATTAATTTCATGGATAATTCGTTGATGTCTCGCTGGGTAGTCTGGTATAATTTAAAACGGCGTTTCAAGGCTCGCGCTTGTTTCTTAGGAATATTGGGAACAATAGGTGAAATTGAATATTGATATGCGATAGATGATATTTAAGTGCGGCAATAAATGTACATTTAAATATCGAAAAACATGTTTCTCTACTTTTACCGTAGGAATAGTAGAATTATAACGAGTACCTTACTGCAAGTAGCTATATTAACATACAATACGTAACAATCATATTAATTAGTACTCTTTTGAGTATGAGGTCAAAGGTGTAGCTCATGTTCATCATCAACTAATTATATTATTTTTTAAACAGATAATCATTTCATACGAATAAATAACGTCCTGCACTAATATAAACGACTGAAAAATTCTCAAAATAAACGCAGGTTGCGATAAGGAAACCTTATGACAGTATTATCCATACCAAAACTCTACGATTTTTGTTCTATTTAACCACTAGACTTTTTGAAATACCCGAACGACGCGAAGCAAAAAATTCGCCTAATATCGACACCGTGGTGTTTAAGCCACCGCTTTGCTTCTTATTTATTAAACGGAAGCACGGGGCGAAGGCTGAACGGCATTTATATTCATAACGAAACGGGTTCCGTCCCCGTTTCGCGCCGCCAGCAATATTTACCCTCCGCAAATATAACGCGAAAATCATTCACCGAATCTCCTGTTCCCTCTACACGCTTCCTGCGCCTCCCTTCTCGTTCTTATTCTCGCTCTACTGTGCCATCCTCGACTCTCTATCGAGGTTCTCCCTCTCTTCCAAGGCGTGAAATTCCAGGCGCTGTTGATTTTCGCCTGCAGCTACGAAAGGAACGCCCAAACTGCCGCGATTGTGCCACGGCTGGTATTGTTTGGCCATAACTGCGTAACTACGCCAAAACTCCTTTCCCACGTATTTATTAAACTTTTTCTCGACTAATTGGCAGGTGGGAATTGAAGGAAAGAAGATTATCAGACAGAATTGTGATAAAAATTAATTTGAAACAGTTGTATTCATTTTCTGTAAGTAAATAGTATCCTATAATCCTATATCCTATAATTATAGTATCCTATGGTACCCTTGATACTAATATTTACTTGTCTAGAACCGCAAGTTAACTACCAGCATGCAATTACTACACCAGGATTATATTTCTGGCCAGTACAGCAATGAATAAAACAAATGTTTAAGAGTATTCAACAATGATAGTAACTACCTATTAGATAGTAGAAATTCCACCCTATTCCATCATCTGAACTCAAAATTTAGATATTTAAAATGGCGGATACAATATGGCGGACCAAAATACGAAAATTGATTCGAAATCCAGAAAAATCCTCCCTCTGGCGCCTAAGGCTCAAAACAATCGCTCGAAGCCTCGAACAACCCTCTCATACGATAAAAACAACTCGTGCCAAAGCCCAATGACGATGCAAGATAAACTCTACTTAATATGTCCCAAGCAAGCCGTCGCATTAATCTCCTTGGCAACGGTAATAAACGAGTCAACGCGACAATTTTACTCGCAAGCGTTCCCTAACATTGCATATAAAAGTTCAACGATCGAATAAATTCATGAATCTTAGATGCCAGCTGGAAGATCGAGACGGTTGTCGAGACGTATCGCGGGTTCCCTGGTCCGACACCGACTCGAATCGATTCCAATGAATATTTAATTCACGATCCGCGATGAACGCCACGCTTTTCGACTGGCGATGTTTCCCTCGGTGTCGCCGGGCGAATCAAACATTTCTTTTTTGCCGGAGAGAGGGGTCGGAGCCGTGATCGAACGACTCCTGAAAGGGATGAAACGTAAATACGCGTGACGCGACCGCGTCGATCGATGTTAGCGTTTCGGAATGAGCGACGGATCGTTTTGGATTTACATGTTCACACACCGTGATTACGTCCGCGGCACCGTAACACGCCACCGTTGCAGATCCCGCCTCGATACGTTTATCTAAATGGAAGAGCAAACACTGCCAACCGGTTGTACGGTCATTGACGTGCGCTAGGGATTAATACTGGAATCCGCGAGAGTAATTTTCGTTGGATTTACTAAATGTATCGTCGATTGAATAGAAACTCGAACGTTCAGCTTTTTCGCACCTGCGTTCGGGGTTTTTTCCCGGTTTTAGTTAGCAGTATGGACGTTGGTAGCGCGTTCGTTGTGGTTTGGAGAGTTGAACTCCTGCCACAGAAACGATGTAGTGGAAATTTATTTATTTGTCTTGAGTATGATCGGTGAGTGCAGTGATAAATTAGCGTGGCGTTCTTCTATTATAGTTCGACGCTTAAGAAGAGACTCCACCATTAATATTTCCTGTACACCACGAAAAATAAGAACTATACTTTTACTAGTTAGAATGTCATTGGAGTCAAAGTGACTTTGTCTTGTAAAATTCTAAGGGAATGTTAACCCTTTCAGATTAGAATTTTTTTTCTAATGTTTTTAATTTTAATGTCAACTTCAATAAAAATTTGGAGATGACTGTATAAAAATTGCGAGCACTAGCATATTTTTAAAGCAAATATCGTCTCTCCAGATGTCAGAGGCACCGAGAGCGTGTATTTAAATAATCAAAAACTTCTTCACGCCGATGAACAGTCCCTTTCACCGCGTCCCTTCGGGACTCCGCAATATTCTGCATGATTCCGCAATTATGAAAAATTTATGCAAGGCGTAAAGCGGACACAGTCTTTGCGACTTTGCGCGCTAAAGTCCCTCCGCAGAAAGGGTTTTAAACCTGAATGACTTGGTTGGTACGGCAGTTACTTTTAATTAGAGCGCTCGGACGCTCTATCTTCGAGCGTTTAAGAGTAGAGGAGAACAGCGTCTTAGCAGCAATTTTTACCCATTAAGACTCTAGGAAGAGTCTCGCGAGACGCGTTCCGTGAGGAAGGCCAAAATCTCCTTGCACCGTGGAATTATCCGCCGTATCTTTCGTGAAATTATTGAGACAATTCTCGTCCTTTTCTTAATCTCGAAGTCGGACTCGCTCTTAAGACGCGGCGCGGAATAATACCGTGGAATCATAGTCATTAACAGAGGGAGAAGACGTTTCTAAAATTTAGACGAAAGTTCGTGCAACATGTTTTCATAAACATTTTTCAATTAGCTCCAGGAAAATTCCAAATGATTAAATAGTTACATTTCGATACAACGTTATTTAAAATACAACTAACCTATATCAGGATCTTGAATTAGAGCATTTGATAAAACTCACCCTTCGACTGTTGCCATCCTTGGGATTCAGATTGGGCTCCGTGGTGACTGTGCCGAAAATGGTTGGCTGTAACAGAAAATAAGCTGCATGTAACGTACACGCCAAACTGTGTACTGTATAACATACTGTGTAAACAAATGTGTGTACAGCAGAAGGAGACTGCAACGTTGGTGAAAAATTCTAGATTAGTTTCAAAACCACCAGCGGGTGAAAACTTATGTTTCGAATCGCCCTACCATCGAGATAAATCCCCTAGGCATTAAATCAATTAGAGCGATTAGCAATTAGAGCAACTAGAGAGATAAAAAGCGCGGCGATTTGCTCTTAGAAGGGGTAGCAATTACATTTCCCAGATTTTAGCCGGCGAGATATCGTGCCTTTTGACATCGATCGACGAGCTGTCAATTCGAAATAGAGGCATGATTTCCATCCGTGAAATCGTCCGGATGTTACGCGTAAAACTGCGAATCCCGAAACGCGGCTGTAAAAGCTGTCGCCTCGTAAATCTACGGAATGCCATCTATGTAGTTCGGTGGCTGCAGTCCGGCCATTAACTGCCTCCCTGACCGAGAAAATGCATTCCGCCGTTACACAGAGCAGGAAGGAAACGTCGATATAAAATGCTAGGGGAAAAATGAATCATAACGACGCCCGTGAATGACACAGGGTGTCCATGGAAATATGAGACCTACTTGCAGAGTCGATTCCACGCGCCAACGCGAACCGAAAAGTTCTTTTTCATTTTGCAATCGGAGCCTTCGTTATCGAGATATGAGCAGTTAAAGTATTTGCGCGCGTGATCGCGTGGGCGCGATCAGCTGATTGGAGTAGAGGGCGCCAAGAGTCGCGTGGATGGAATTCAATTGCTTGTATCTCGATAACGAAAACTTCGATTGCAAAGTGGTAAATGACTTTTCGATTTCTTTTTGTGTGAGTTCTTGATCATGATTGTTGGTTAATATCTTGTGGGCGTTTTATAATATTTTATTATGTTTCATACAAATCGTAAAATATACCTTAAAACTGAACTTCTTTAAGGTACATTACTTGTTAAACTATTCCAATTACCAGATTCATGACGGCAACGATCACCTAAGCTCCGCACCTCGTAAATCCACGATACACTGATCGATTCAAGCTCGAATCATCTTCAGGAAGAATCAATCCAGCCCACGGGGAAATGGCGGCGATAAAACACAAGCACCTCTTCAGAACGGTCGATAATTCCGTAACGTTAACGGAGAATGATCCTCCTCGTCGGCGATACTACCGCTCGGAGCGTTTTGATCAAGCCAAAGACAGTCCTGATCCATTAAGCGTTCTTTTATTTCTGAAATAACAGTTTCGAGCGGCAGTTTTCCTCGAAACGCCACGCGATACGGCGGAATTAAATAGCGCACAACAAATCGTCCGAGTCCACCTTCTCCGCGTGCATCAGCCGAATGCATCGCGAGGATTTACAGTTTATGCGACGATAAAAAAAGAAATTGGACCAAGAGTCCCCTCCAGGGTTTACCGGTTCATACGGTGTTAGACAACAATAAACAGCGACGAAGGCAGTAAACCGAGGCTCGTGCTTTTCATTGTGTAAACGATTCTCGCGATAGAGCCCCGTGTTCTGACGAGTTTTAGCAGTCCTATGCGAAATCCACATGGAGAATATAAAATTTCATCTCGTTTGTAATATTTCTTCTACAAGAATCTAAACATTACTCAATCCACGAAAATTTATTCCACGTTTGATTACCGTTAAGGTCTCTTCTATCAGTTGAATAACAATATTGATCGTTCGAATAAAATCGAACGATATTGGGCAGAAAAGACCACACTGTTTCTTGAATTATTGAAACGCGAGTGAAAAAAGATACCTGTATACCGAAAACAGAATACCGAGCAAACAATTGCCGTTTGTTCTGCGAAGTCAATATTGCATTTCAGAGAGATCAATACTCCCACGACGAATGTTCTACATTCTGCGCGCTGCATCGAGTTTACAGTTATTGCTCGCGCGTTATAGCAATCGAGAAAATTAATTAAATTTCCGTAGCACGTTTAGCATTGTTTGTTCGTTGTTTGTACGCATTTTACAGCGGAGGTGAGCGAAGTTCTGATTCGAATAATGAATTTGGAATAAGAGATGGACTACTTTTGATCCATTGTTTGTTCGATAAAAGTAAAAATCCAGATCGTTTATTTAAATTCTTCATGACTTAACGAATAAATTTCTACCGAAGTTTCATTCGTCATTTGTTATCCGAATAAAATTCTACTCGTTTCAACTTTACGGAGGCCTTCTGTGAGCTCATGCGACATTAATAAATATGGTTAAAATGATACAATTAACGAAGAAAGGCAAGAATTTCAAGCTGAAAAGCATTGTTAAATCGGTGATTACGGCAGCGCAACGTTTTTCTCGCGAGCGTAACAGAGGACTCAACGAGCTGAAACATTTTTCTCAAAGAAAGAATCTTCTATTGTCGTTTATGAAAGCTCTGAAGGTAATTGCTAGCTACGGGCCTCGAGAGGAATCGATAGCAGCGTCTTGAAAGCATAAAAACTCACTCAAAGTAATTGTTATCAATATGGATAATGTCGCTGGACTTAAGAACACGATTGGATAAGAGAAAAATCGAAGGAGAACGATAAACGGAGGGTTATACGTCAATATTATAACGTCAATATTATCCACTTTCTGAAAGTTTCAAAACTAGTGTTTTTGAATAATCGAAATTCATTAGTCTCAAGCACATCCTCTCTACTGCTCTAAAATATTTTCCTAAACGTTTCAGTCAAGTTCCATCACCTCGAATTGAAGTGTTGTTTTCTTTCCCCAATGGAATCGATCTGTTCCTGTTCGTGAAACTAGGAAACTTTATTCTTCTAGTGACCGAGAGGACTTGCATCCAGCGACACGGTTTCGATATCAGGCCAAGAGTCTGATAACGGTTGGCTCGTAATTTATGACGTAACAGTCAGGTACGACGTGTCGGACGAGAAAAACAAGTCGAATCGATTCTCGCTGTGGAACATCCGCAACACGGAATCCGCACTGAATCGGTTCCTCCTTATCTTTATCCGCTTCGACGGATCGGTCAACAATCGCGTCCCTGATTCAAAAAGACGACGAGAAAAAGGGGATAGGTAAGACCCGCTTCCTTGCAGAAATTTCTTCTCGTGTTCGGGACTTCTTCTTCTACTCTGACATTTTTTTTAACACGCGTGTTACAGTAACGTACACGTAATCTTTTTACAAAATACAGTGGCATACATATGTACGAATTATTACTAGAAATGTGTGATGAAATGTATTTCTGTTTCTGATTATTTGAAATTCATTAGTTTCTAGCACTTGCTCTTTCTTGACTGCTGTACAATATTTGCGTCTTTGAATTTTTATATATTTCCTTTTCATGTTATAGGAGAGTCAGCGCAATTTTTATGCCACATTGCGTCAAAACAGTGTTCCCAAAGTATTACTGGATTATAGAGTATAAAATATCCATGAATTTATGGCAGAAGCTTTGCACGCGCGTAGTATTTAACAAAGTATGCAGGAAAGTTTAGCGAACACGGTTCAAAATACAGTCGATCCAGTGTTAGAAGACACCTTTGTGTTTCCTCTACCAGCTATTTAATGAATTCATGACAAACTGAATTTTCGCTGGTCGAAACGTTAGAATTAATACACATAAACAAAGTACGACACGCCGATACTACTTTCGCAATTTCTCTTTGATTCTTTTTGAAAGCGTATATAATGCGAAACTGATCTATAGGAAATAAATACAAAGAAGCAATAAACTACCTGTATTAGAATTTTATTGCTGAAGGTGAAATATTTCTATCAGCGAAGCACTCGGAAAACTAGTAGTAAAATTGCCTTCGAAATGATACTAAAATGTCAAATATAAATAAAATAGCATTTTCAAAATTGTAATATGAAAATCTTACTAAAACCTTGGTTAATATTCCTCGAGGTATCACGTCATCCGCAACACAGTTATTTACAACAAGCATTATACAACAAAATAATGAAAAATTCTCCCCCAACAAGAATGAAATTTTCCTTGCAAGTGCATCTATGAACATTATTGCTGCGAAATGAAAACGTCCGCAAACGTTACCTGGGACAACTACTTGACAGCTCCGCTTAAGAAGTGAGTAGCATGTGACCCGTAACATGTAGCTCCCAAGAAAAGGTCCGTAGCATGCGATCCTTTAAGTGGTTCTTTGAAACGGGAATCTAGGGTTGCCTCTAAATCCTTCGGGTCCTTAAATTATTCCGCGTTTCCGCTACAGGATAGTCTCGAGCGGGTGATTAAAAGATTCCTTTGAGAATCGAATAACCGATGCCCGTCTTATTTACAAATTGCCCCGTGATCCTGGCGCTCTGGGAAGAACTACCGACGTGACAAACGAACGGGCATTTAAGTCCGACCAAACGTCTCTGTTTCGAATGAGATATCACCTGATACGCGTCATCCCTGAACGGGGAAACTTAATAGAAAATTTAAAGTGTGCCGGGAGAGTGAAACAGCTTCCAGCTTGAATTTCAATCTTCCCTCTAGACTGTTCATTATACCTTAACATTTTTTGTTTTTTAGATAGCTTACTTGAGTGGATAGTCGATGATGACATTAAGCTGGAAGGATACCAAGAAGACGAGCCAGGAAGATACGATCGTTAAGGACAATAGGATGTAACTATCATCGATGAAGCATGAAGAGCAGTATTGGAAAAACGTGAAGGTAATGAACATCCAATATTGAAGGTCTCGAAGATACGACCTGACATTCCGTAAGAATTATTGAATAATGTTCGTAATGATACACTCTCCAAATAATCGAGCATCGTTCTAGAAGAATACGTTCGATAAAAACCCAAGAGACAAAGAACGTCAAGTTTCTCATACGTTTTCCTCTGTGCAAGTCGATTGCTTCAAGTAGCCCAATTAAAGAGGGGAGAGCGGCGACAAATTCCCACCGCGATCGATGCCGCGACAAGCGCGAAAAATCCCTCTCTAATGTTCGCGTGGGAACGCTACAGAAACGAGGTCGAAGGGGGTG